GTGTGGGGGGGGGGGGACAGGGGAGGGGGAGAGAGAGAGAGTGTATTACTTAATGGTTTATAAAGACTAATAATTTCTATTATAATTGTTAATGGCTTCTACTAGGTAGATGCCCAGGTCAAAGAATCTGTCAAGCTAATGCTTTTTGGTGATCAACAAGAAGACCTTCCCGAATCGCTTCTCCAATGGTTTACATCCAATTTTGTGAGCAAAAGTGATCTGCAGACTTTGTTGCGGGATCTAGAGTTGCAGATCCTCAAGAATATTACTCTCCATATGTCTGTTACAAACCAAAAACTAACATCTGAAGTAGTAACAAATGCTGTGACTAATGCAGGGATTTCTGGAATCACAGAAGCGGTGAGTGAGTTTAAGTTCTCAAAAGTTCAACTAAAACTGTAAAGAGTCCTTTTATAGGCATTCTGTGGAGCTTGACTGTCAATATAAATGTTAATGATTTTAAGAGATGTTGGGAACATTAATTGAAATGGGGAGAACTACAGAAAATGCTTTATCAAGTGTATTCTTACAGCATTGCTTGTTGCCTGTTGTGAACGTTTGTGGTTTTTTCAAAGTATGCTATCTTGAAAATTGAAGAATTCCCAAGAAACAAGTATACCACAGAAATGCAGCTCAGGGTCTTGGGAAAGTGGGGGAAAGAATGAAACTTTTGAAGAAAATGCCAGTCAAGATGCAGTATGAATTTGTATTTTAAGACAGACAATCATGCATTAAAAATGGCCTCTGTCTTGACAGAGGCTTTCAAAGACTTGTGATGGAGTGCAGCATCTCAAAGATGCTTGCAACTTAACAGATATGTATATATCAATTATTTTATCACTTGATGTTATCAAAATCTTTCTCTTTCCATTCTCCTCTTCTATGTGTACATCTGTAGCAAGCACAGATTATTGTAAACAATGCACTGAAACTCTACTCTCAAGACAAGACTGGTATGGTGGATTTTGCCTTGGAATCTGGAGGTAAATAGTAGAGGAAACACTATTTTACTATTCGTGTTACAGTATTTACTAAAAATCTTAAATGAAGACTAAAGGTTAGTAGAGCATCCTTGTGTGTTGCCTGATCACCAGACTACTGCGTGTTGTTTGCCCAGGGACAGCGATAGAATAGTTCTTCTAAGCATGTGTACAACTAGATAATAGAGAACCACAAATCTGTTTGTGTGGGGTGTACACACCACTGAACTCACTAGGGAAAAATGTGTATTTTTAAGCCCTCTTAAATGAAAAACCTTTTAGATGTTCTTAAAATCATACTGTACTTGCTAGAAGCATTGTATCCCCAGAAAATTATTAGACTTTAACAATATCTTTAATAGTTTTTTTTCTGAGGTATATTCATTAAGCTTTGTACAAATCTCTGCCTTAAAAGTCTTCAGGAAGAAATGAGTAATTATTTCTGCTAACCTGATACATCTTTTTTGAGGTGGCAGCATTCTGAGTACTCGCTGTTCTGAAACCTATGAGACCAAAACAGCATTAATTAGCCTCTTTGGAATTCCTCTATGGTACTTCTCTCAGTCTCCCAGAGTGGTGATTCAGGTAATTAAAAGCTGAGTAAACAAATTCAGCAATGTTACTTTGTTTTGAGTGGTTTGGATTGTTTTTTGGATGCTGGATGTTTCTGACTATAATATATTGGGGGGCACGTGTACTTTGAACTGTGTTCCCAAAAGTGGGATTCTTCTGGTAGTTCCTGGGCACTGCTTAAGTCCTACTCTAGCAAAATTAAGACCCGCATAGGACGCTTGGGTGGTGTATTGGACTTCTGCAAAGTGTGAGCTTTTTCTGCTGAGAAGTAATCTCAAGGTGGGTCTTCAAAACACTGCTGGTAGTTCAGGTGGATATGCTGTCTTCCTGAAGAGTTCTACTGAATAGATTATATTCTGCCACTTACTATCTAAGACTGTCCCTAATAATTCAGAATTCATTACAACTCTTTATTACAAAAAAATTATTACAAAATGCTTGTGGTTGGTTCTTTTTGTTGTTGGTGGTGTGTCCCATCCTGTTCTCTTCCCCTTCTTCCTGTCTAGCCGGACATGTATCCAGGAAACTGCTGGGCTTTCAAAGGATCACAGGGGTATCTTGTAGTTAGACTTTCAATGAAGATCTATCCAACTGTCTTTACAGTGGAACACATACCAAAAACACTTTCACCAACAGGAAATATCACCAGTGCTCCTAGGAACTTTTCAGTATATGTAAGTCTGTCTCTGAACTTAAGTTGATGTTTATATATATAAAGAATATTTGTGTTATGCATCTTGGAAAATAATGACTTACGGGAGGATCGCTAAGAAGAGGAACTGTTTCTGTCATTGCTCTTAAAATTGCTTTTTTTTCCCTGATCTTTGAGATTGGGAATAAGAAGTGTTACAACTAATTTTGGGGGAGTTGTTTCTTTTCTCTTGCTTTATACAGTAGTAAACATTTTTGGAGGAAGATGATGGTTTTTAGTTTGGTATAGTTCTTTCATACACTTTAATTGTTCCATCCTTCCTCCATTCTTCCCCCTTTCCCTCCATCCATTTTGGCTCTTCGCCTTAACTCTGATGTGCCTTAAATCTTTTTTTAAATTGATTTTAAGTAGCCCCACAGTTGCGTAGGCATGACAGAAGACCACAGGCTACATCAGAGTATAGTTGTGATATTTGAGAACTTTCTGTCTAGTTCTTTTAAATGCTTAAGCAGTGATCTGCAAGCATCTGAATCTTGACTTCTGTCTTGTTTATAACCTTCATGTTTTCTCATTCTTGTTTGTCCTGAGCAGTTTATATTGTACACTGTGATAGTGGTTTTGCCAGGGAAATTAAGGGGTTTGACCATGAAAACATATAAACATAGCACAACTATTTGCAGTGCAGGAAACTCAAATACAGAGCTGTGCCTGAACAAGCATTCAGTTACACAGGAAACATTCTGATCCTGGTTTGATAGACTTCTGTTGATACTCAGTTATGTAGATATGCTACTGGTTTTGGTTTGATTTCAAATTTGATGGAAAAATCTTTATCCTGTTGTTACAGGGTCTAGATGATGAATATCAAGAAGAAGGCAAGCTTCTAGGACAGTATGTCTATGACCAAGGAGGAGAACCACTGCAGATGTTTCCAGTGATGGTAAGTCTGGATGATAAAAGTGTCAGGAGAAAGATACTTGTATTTTCTATGGTAGTGCACAATGAGCAGTGAGAGGAAAAAGGCCTCATTCTCTGTTGGGCACTGTAGAAACTGAGGCAGAAAGTATCTACCTATCTGCCTCAAAACCTGTGGTCTAAATAGACGAGAGGGGAGGAAAGGTTTGTGCCATCTGGACACAAATAGTGTGAAGGTGCTAAACATACAAAGAGTCTGCTTCATGCTTCTTCTGACTCCCTTCACAAAAAAACTAGTCGTAAGGCAAGGAAAGTTCTGTTCAAAGCGGCGGAAAGTTCCCAAGGCATAACTTAATTACAAATAAAAGTTAGTAGTTGCAGGAATCTAAGAAAGCAACTTCAGTTGCACCTGTTTATAACTAGAAACCTAACTCTGGTTTGTCTGTTTGCTTTTTCCTTCTTCAGGAGGAAAGTGAAAATGCATTCCAAATAGTGGAACTGAGAATTTTTTCTAATTGGGGACATGCAGAATATACATGCCTTTATCGGTTCAGAGTGCATGGGAAACCTGCCGAATAATTTCCTACACTACAGCTTGGGTGGTTTTTGTTGTTGTACATTTTGTTCTAAATTTGTATATACCGGAAAGCCTAGAACACTGGAATCTTTAAAGGACGAGGATGCAAGATATATACTGCAGAACTATTGATCCTCTGATAAAGGCAGAAGACTGTCAGCAGAACTGTATAAAAAAGAATTTTTATTTGCTCTAATGCTCAGCTTGTAACTGCCAGTTAGCTTTACATTTTTGTGTCCATGCTGAGGGAAATAATGCATGCAAACTACTCTGGTTCATAAAGCCCAGTTGGCAAACAAGTGACACCTATTTTATAACAAATGAATGTATAGGTTTTTTTAAAAGAATAAACCACACTTTCTGCAACTAGGAATCTGGTTTTTTTTAAATCCAGGACTTAACTGCATACTTCTGTTAGCTTGGCACCATAAGCCAAAAACTGTGGTACACTTTAAACACTGACTGTGGCTAAAGGTGTCCTTCAGTTGACCCTTGGTTTTGACCTTTTTGGTGGATCCAAAAGGGCTTCTTTGATACATGTTGAATATAATAAATATTACTGTCAGGGAAAGTTAACGCAACCAAAACTAGTTTAAACACCAGTGACTGAGAATGCTTTACTGTAACTTGTGGCCATGAATTGCTCTAAAAGTCAGGGATAACTTTAAGTTAAACTGAAGTTATTTTATGGGTTTTTACCATAGTGACTTGGCCAGTTTGTTCTTCTTTAGTGTTAATTACAAATCGACCTTGATGTACTGACTAACTGGATCAGAACCGATAAGCCTGCTAAATTGTTTAGTAAACATTAGTATACAGCAATTAAACAATCTATATTTGTCAAAAGTGATCTCTTTGGGACAGTAATTCCTTAGGCTGGTTCGTCGTTACACTCAGTAAATGCTGTACTGTGAGAATGCAGTATGTGGAAAACAAGACTGAAGTAAACCTCGCTACTTCACACTTACAAGAGGGACTTCTTCTCAGTGCTGCCATACTGAAATACACAGGCATGCTTTGATCATCCCCAGAAACCTTAGTCGGGTCTAAGAAGATTAGTCAGGTCTTGCTCTCAAAAGCAACATTTCCATGTAGAATGAGATGAAACTGCTTGTTGCCCCCCTCTAGGATTGCTACTTTGAAGATCCTTTTCAGAAAAGATTCCTGAAATGTACTTGTATGCAGAATTTTTATCTTGCTGTTATAATGCATTTTATAGTTACACACGAACTGTTAACACATGGAACTGCTGACTGGTTTTCTGAATAGAGTTATGTATGTTGCACAACAGTCCTCAAATGTTTAAGAAAAGTCTCCCTGTGAAGAACTCTTTTTTTTTTTTTTTTTTTTTCTTTCTCTCCTCACTTGAGCTAGAGACAGAACCTATGGCCTATGCAGAGGAGCTAGATTACATGTGTACAGGCGTTTTCACGTTATAGGTTACATATTTAAAATTAGAATTATCCTGTATAAATTGAAATTAGGTAGCCGGGGTGGGAATATTTTGAATAACACTAACTTATTTTTAAAAAAGCAAGATAGGACTTTGTGCAATGTATTTTTGTAAATGCTTTTCAAAATGTCTGTTATTCTTTGCTGCCTCCAAACTGACAAGATGCTATTGAGATGTTTAAATAAAGAGTTTTAATTTTTGAAAGTGCATGTAATATTTGAAACAAGAAATAAAGCTTCTTTTCTGTATTTTTGATCACCTGCTTAAATAACGGAGGACATTAGAGACTGTAATACTAAAACTGAATGAATGCCTGTTGCCGTAGTTGGTAGGCAGATAGGTTTTCCCCATGGCTTGTCTCCAAGCATGATCTACCTCGTTCTCCCCCTTCCCTGTGGAAGAGGTCATGGCTCTTCCCTGTGCTGGGCTGAGAAGTGGGAGTTTTGTGACCCGCACCCCAAAACTTTGGGGTGCAACTGCAGGAGGAGTATGTGGTTTAGCGGTTCAACAGCCCGGGCTTGCCTTTCCTTCAGCGTTCCTGTGGAGCATGGTGTCTCGTGCTGAAACTTTTGAAGGGAAAAACCCTGCGAGTTGGTAGTTTCTTGATGTTTTTCAGCTATTTGTAATACACTTTCAGAAATTCATGCTTGAAATGGTAGGGGTTTTTTGTTTTGTTTTTTTTTTAAACTGTTCCTCAGCCTTGCTGCCCGTGTCCCTGAGGCGCAGCAGTGCCCAGCTCCCTTTCCTCTGCAACCCGCAAACCCTCCCTTGGTTTTTTATATTCTCCTTCTCCCTGGGCTGGCCGGTTGTGCGGTACAGGAATCGGCCCTTGACGAGGCCAGAGACTTTCGGGCTTTCCTTAGTTCCGTTTTGAGCCGGTTGACCCGGCCCCTCCCCGTCGGCGGAGCTTGTCCGCCAGCACGAACCGTTCCCCCCGGCCGCGGGTGCTCTCCTGACGGCTGCAGCGCGGCCC